TCTTAGCCACTCAATTTGAGGTGAAAGATCTAGGCCCCTTACGTTACTTCCTTGGAATTGAAGTTGCTCGCTCTCACAAGGGCATCTTTATTTCCCAATGGAAATATGTACTAGATCTACTAGAAGATANGTAAAACCAATTGATTCACCAATTGAAGCTAATCATCATCTGGGAGACAGTCAGGAAGAGTTTTTGAAAGATGTGAAGAAGTTCCAGAGACTCGTGGGGAGACTTTTGTATTTGTCTATGACCAGGCCTGATATTGCCTATGCAGTGGGTGTCCTCAGTCAATTCATGCACAACCCTAGGACAACTCACTTTGAAGCTGTAGAGAGGATCATGAGATACCTCAAAAAGTTTCCCGGAGCTGGTTTGTTGTTCCAGAAACATGGTCACCTAAAGTTGGAAGTATATACAGATGCAGAATTGGGTAGGAGCAGTCAATGACCAAAAATCTACCAGTGGGTATTGTGCCTTTGTAGGAGGAAACCTAGTCACATGGAGAAGTAAAAAACAAAGTGTGGTGGCTAGATCTAGTGCTGAAACAGAGTATAGAGCGATGGCTCATGGGGTTGCTGAAAGCATGTGGATAAGAAATCTGTTAGGTGAATTGGGTTTCGCAGTGACCAATCCAATGTCACTCTACTGTGACAATAAAGCTGCCATCAATATTGCTGCTAATCCAGTTCTGCATGATAGGACGAAACACATTGAAGTGGACAAGCATTTTATTAGAGAGAAACTTGAAAATGGAGAAGTGTGTACACCATATGTCAGCTCAGAAGAACAACTTGCAGATATCTTTACCAAAGGTCTTCATCTTGTGCGGCACAAAGATTTGTGTGACAAGTTGGGCATGATTCACATCTATGCTCCAACTTGAAGGGGAGTGTTAAAATAATTTAGTTTTGGTGCTAGGGTCTGTTTGACTAGTTAAAGGGGTTTTTTATTTTGTTTTTTCTTTTCTATTATGTCTGTTATTGTACTCAGGGGCACAAGGGTCTTTTCCCTTGTCATTTCCGCCGCCCTATATATATTATAATAAAGGTTGGCACCACTAGCACTGTTACATTGCAAATACCCTCTCTTCTCTTTGCCCTTCTCTCTTCTTCTTCTCTTCCTTTCTCTTCCTCTTATTTCTGGCCGGCAATACTGTCAAGATTCTTCTCATAAATATACTGATTTTCTATCTTTTGATATGGAGTTTATACTTATTTCTTGAGGATTATGGTAATTAGTAGTTAAAGATTACTGTTGATTGTAAGTAAACCCTAGCAGATTCTAGGTCGAAGTAGAGAAGAAGAAAGAAAAGAGAAAGAAGAAAAAGAAGAACAAGAAGAAGAAGAAGAGAAAGAGAGTTCGGCCAGACTAGAAGAGAGTAAAAATCACACTCCCCTAGCTGACCCACTTGTATTTATTCAAAAACATAGAGTTACAAGAAAGACCATTTTGTCCCTCATACAAGATGGGACACATAACTTAAACTCAGATACAATAGACCTTTCACTCTCAAACAGATAATCCAGAATGACCAAAATACCCTTG